CAGTAGATTTCTTATCATAACATAGCTTCATGGAATCAGCAGACGTTTTCAAGTTAGAACGCACTTGATGGTGAATATCATCAATCCTTTCGGATAACACTTTCACGAACTCTAACACATTTTCAGGAAACTCTTCGTAAGGTGGGCGTCCTGTTATCAGATCCACTGGCAACCGAAGTTCCCGACCAAACATCAGCTTTGCTGGAGTGTATGCAGTGGCTTCATGCTCTGCTGTTCTATAGATCATCAACAGTGGAGAGAGTAAGACATTCCAGTCATCTTGGCGACTATTACAAAACATTGCCAATTCGTGTCCAAGTGTCCAGTTGTACTTTTCTATCATCCCATCAGACTGTGGGTGAAGTGGCGTTGTTTTGGTCTTTCGTATGCCAAAAACTTGCAGTATTCATGGAACACAGCTCATTCAAAGTTATGGCCTTGATCCGAATGCAGTTCGTACAGCATACTAAATCTGAAGAAGAAGTCACTAATAGCCGAAGCTACAGTTGTAGCTTCCTGATTTGGTATTGCATATGCCTCAGGCCACTTGGTGAAATAATCCATCACCACACGAATGTACTTGTTTCCAGCCCGAGTTTGGGGCAAAGGACCAGCAATGTCAATGGCCACTCTTTCCATTGGTGCACCACCTTGATATAACTTCATTGGAGCACGTCCATTATGCTTGGGTCCTCTTTTCGCACATGTACTGCATATCCTACACCCTTTGTCCACATCTTGCCTCATACCTATCCAGTAAAATAGCTGTAGTAGGTGACTCAATGTCTTCTTAACTCCGAGATGTCATCCTGTTAAACTATCATGGGATTGATGCAGCACAACTTCCTGTAACTTTCTCGGTATAAGTGTTTGCCACGTCGTCACCTTCCTACCTGCAGTTTCCCATTACCAGAAAAGAATACCATCTTCAAGATTCAACTGGTCCCATTGTGCCCAACAGTTCTTTGTCACAGGGCTTAAGCTAGACAACTTCTCCCAAGCAGGACACAAAACACTTGCTTGTAGAAAATCAATCATTGGCTTC